CGCGTAATGTTCAATTCCCATTTTTGTTAAATACTCTCATGCCGGGAATGATTTATTTTCTATTTCCGCCATTAATTTGTTGTACTCTTCAACACTTAAGTTTCAGCAGCTCTCCTGAACAATGAAACGATGCATTTGCCCTGATACTTAATTTTCATGTTGCCTTGTATATGGTACATGCAATATCCATGATATGTTTTGGAAAAAACTTTAATACCATTTATTATAGATGGTCATCGATCAATTACAAAGTCAAGGTGATCGACTTCCTCGACTACTTTCCCTGTGAAGAAAAACTTAAAACAATTCTCGTCATCCGTTACAATAAAAAATGCAGAGTTTGGATTAGTTGTACTAATGTTACGGCAATAACTGGCCAATTCAACATAGCTCTCCTCGGCCGAGCCCATTAATTCTTGACCTTCCCTGCCTTCGGTGGCTCATGACCACTCGATACTCTCGATAGTCGTCGTTAATGATGTTCGAAAGTCTGTAGATCGTTCGTAGGTCCTGATACTTGTACATTATATGTCGACCAATAAAACATGATTAGGCTTGCCCATAATCATTTCGACGAATTCCTACTTCATATGTATGTTCGCTTGTATACTTGCAAATTACAGATAACTCATTCGTGTTTATCTTCATTGCTCGTAAACGCCAAATGTTACAATCGCAACGCAAATAATGTTCAACAATAACTTGTTTGATTTCTTCACTCTGCATTCAAAGTTGCATTCAATTCAATGCGTAGCTTCCTGCATATCTTTTTATTTCAAACAGTTGCTCGACATTCAAATTCTCATCATCAAGAACCACACGCGAAGAATTAGAGGACGTCTACTCAATCTAGCCCATACGCTCCCATCTCACTCATATCTCTAATGAGATAAAGTAATCAAATCCTCATTTGCAAAATCATTATCATTTTCGTTGTTGTGAACTACCAACAAAATTTTGTGTGTAACAGCGAGGTCACGATGTGGAACAATTGTCTCCACCATGTCCCAAAAATCATTGGCATTGTGATTCAATATATCCGAATCTTCGTACTCACCTTCATCAACATTCTTCCTCAGTAAAATCACACAAAGAGGAGTCTGTGCATTTTGTTCAATTCAAATAGAAAATTCACGTCAACATCAAAAATTATCTTCATAGGTGGAATCGGAATTGATGAATGCTCGTTGAATTGAAATTTCAATTCCATATCGTACTTAGATAGATTGATTTTTAGCTTGATTTGTAAATATGGTACATTTTCATATATGATATACTCGATGTTATGGAAATTGGAATATCACCATGTATATCACTTGGCCATTTCCATACACATCGGTCCTTTTCATCTAATTCGAAATTACCAAAATAAGAAACTAGAATTACAACCATATATGTATGACGAAACATAATTTTTAATTATAAAAAAATAGTCGAAAAATCAGCCTAACAATTGAACAATAGGATTAAAAAAAAAAAAAAAGCTTCACAGTCGGTAGTTAGGCCATAACAGTCGGTTGTTGCAACCATGATATATATGCAGATGAGTTTTTTTCTTATTTATACTTTAAAAAAAAAGTTATAGATCTGTTGACAAATTTATCTACATTTTAATCTATATCAAAATAAGATTTATCGATTAAATACTAATTTAACGAAAACGAAATTAATTATACGTAAATATATTTATCGATTCGAAGTGATAGATGTAAAAAAAAAAAAATTCTTGTTTCACGTTTGATCAATTTATAAAATTTTGAGGTTGAAGTAGATGAAAAATAAAAGAGTTTTTATCTGTGTTGGAATAAACAGATAAGAAAAATTAGCTGATTTTGAAATATTAAATGAAAAGTGTTTGATTTTTACTTGTTAACTAAAAGAATAGTATTGTCTTTTAGATAACAAAATATTTTGTAATTGTATTGTTTACTTAATGAGATCTTTGTCTTTTACATTCAAAAGTTCATTGTGAAAATATGTAATTGTTTAAAATTCAAAATGAAAATTAGGGGGCTTGACCAAACCAATTTTAAAAGGACCCCCCAAAACTTCAATGATAAAAACATCTCGTTTATTTACTGATCAAGAAAATGATCTGAGATTCTGAGTACGTGAAATTGGGATATGTTCATTCCTTTTTTTTTTTTTTTTGTCTTTCTTTTCATTTTCTTCTTTGCCATTTTTTTTACTCCATCTCTTTTCGAACACCAAAATACAAACTAATGTTTTCAATTTTTATTAGTATATGAATTGATTCATATTTTCATCGAAATGATTCAAATACAAAAATGAGCAACCAAAACCATCTCATTAGAGATTTTTCTTCAGGACCCTTTCTGCCTTCGGATGGACAGTCAAAAGTAACTGTGGCTGAGAAATTTCTGGCAAAAATAGCTCAAAAAAGCCCAAAGAAATGCCATAACACAATATCTTCATGTAATTTTATATTTCTCCACAGGAATCAACAATGCAAGCAACATTCTAAAATATCGATGCCTTCCATGATGATGAGCTAATGCTGGGGTAAACTTTTAATATCGAATGCATTGGTAAAGCTTACAAATTCAGAATGTAGAGCCAAAACTGGAGAAGTACAATGGACCATTTCAGGAAAGTCTACAGTACAAAAATCCGAAGAATAAGTTCTCTTTCTTTCGATAATTATTTCAATTTTGACATTTTTGTGGAACTAATAAGTTTTTGATTGATGTGTTCATTGTTCTTTGACTCTCTCACATCTTAATAAAGATATTGAATTACGTGTGTTTTCATTTTTCTTTATAACTTTACATCTATAATTATATATGTAAAGATACAAGTAAAATTGGAATTTTAATGGTAAAATTAAAGAATTTTGTCTTTTCAACCAAAAGATAACGGTAAATCTCATCTACAATAGCTTTCCTATAGTGTACGTGTAATGTATTTGAAATGTTCACAATACTTGAAATTTAACGAAGTACATCACCTCTTCAAAAATAAAATGAAATAAAAAAAATATTGCTAAATCGCTTTATCTAAAAGTTTAAACCCTTAAATAGAAGAAATAGAGTTCATAGCTATACACTAAAAACTTACAGTCAAGAAAGACAAGGAAAAAAAAAAAGCATTACTCTTTGATTACCATATTTAGGAAAACAAAGGGTCATTTGGTACGACTTCTAAAAAGTCAATAGTTACATATGAGACAAAAATAGCTATTTTTGAATATATTTGGATAATTTTTAAAAGTACTCTGCTTGGTTATATAAGTTTTTAGAGGAAGCTCTTCCTATAAAATTTATGCTTTTTTTTCTTTTTTTTTTTTTTTGGGGGTAGGAGGTGTCAGGGTGTTTGGAAAGATGAAAATTTTCCTTATTAAAAAAAAATATATGTCTTTTATTATTTTAGTTATACTCATTTGCATATTTTGAAAAGATTTGGGCTTAATTGTTTCTTAATTTTTTTTCTTTTTATTTATTTAAAGAGTGGTAAATTCATCATTTTACAAGGTTTTATGGATAAAAATGCCGAAAATATTGTATGACACAAAGTTTGGATGATTTAGGGCAAATAGAAATGGTCATCTAGGGAGGTATTTCACCAAAATGAAATGATAAATAGTACTCTACAATAGAGCCAATTTACCTTTTAAATTTAGACAAAAATAAAATCATAATTATTTTAGTTTAAAATACTCGTACATTTTTCTCTATTTTATAGCACCAAATAATGTATTAAAACATTGCATGATAATCTCCCTTAATCTAATTTGATTTCCTAAATGTACCTCATATTTCTTACAGGAAAATTGTGTTTTGTTTAGAATTAAATATTGAAGTTCAGTTTTGTAATAATAATATCAAATGCATTAGTTTAATTTTCAATTATAATTCTTATTATTATTATTTGATCCAACATATTCTAATGTAAATGTATATTTTTTTATTAGATGATTTTAGTCCATTTAATTTACATGATAGTTATCAAACCCAATGTAACATTGTCTTTTAAGTAAATATTGAAAAATAATTGATCGAGTATATAATAACTAGAGAATTACGTTTCACTTATGTTGAAGACTCATGTCAAATAGCTTGTGCTCCATATCGGTACTCAATTAAATTTGAAAATATTTTTTTAAAGTACTAGATGTCATCGATTAAAACTTCTACGTATATTTCAAATTTACACTATAGTGACACTTGACAGCCTTTTTATTTTTGTGTTTTGTATATTTCTTAAGATATTTGTTAAAATCCCTTGATTAAGTGCCCCAACACACCACCCACCAAAATCCCTCTGAGGGTAACATTTATAGTTGGAACATATCTTTTGTATACCTCTTTTTTTTTTTTAATTGAATTCAAACTTTATTGATTTCCTTACTTATGGCGGAGGAATACCTAAGTGACATAATATTAAAACGATCTAGACAAGTAGAACCGTAACATTAACAACTGTTCAAACCATCATCAACCACATCTTACTTTCTCAAATAAACCTCTAGCTCCCATACTTGCTAAAGAATTAGCCACTTCATTGCTTTCTCTCAACCGATGTGCTATCTGAAAATTGAATTTCTGCAGTAGCTCCACAAGATCTTCCCAGAAATCCCATAAATACCATACGGGACACTTTTGAGATAAAATCCAAGAAACCACTATTAGTGAATCACGCTCAATGTCAAGGTGATATACTTCTAACTCACGGCATATCCTTAAACCTTCAATGATCGCTCTCAATTCAGCTTCATTATTTGTAGCTTCCCCAAAGTAAGTACAAAATGCTGATACCAATTCATCTTTTTCATTCCGAATCACTCCCCCTCCCCCAACCTGACCAGGATTCCCTAGACTGCTACCATCTACATTAAGTTTCACTCAATTATGTATTGGTTTAGTCCATGAAACCACTCGAATCTGCTTAGCTTTGACTGGAGTTCGATGTATCTCTAGCATACGAAGAACAGGTTCATCTTGACTGGTCTGGATGTTTGTATTTGACAGATTAATTGAAGCCTGTTGTAACCAGAATTTAATGGATAAAAACACCTCCTCTACAGATTCAAACTTTCCTTCCATCCTTGCTTTACATCTTCTCAACCATAGTTTCCAAGTAACTAAACATGGAATTAATCCAAACAAACAACCTACTTGGGAAGATCTTTTTGCTCTAGCCGACCATAAATTTATTCTTTCCCACCAAGGTTGTCTTGCCCTCCAACGTACACCTACCAATACAGAAATATTTCTTCATATTTTGTCGGGATGTGCTAGTGGTACATAATGGGCACCATAATGGTGTCCATCATGGACACATGGTGCCCATTCATTGGAGGGAGTGTTGGCNGCCAACACTCCCTCCAATGAATGGGCACCATGTGTCCATGATGGACACCATTATGGTGCCCATTATGTACAAGAAGAATAACCCTATTTTGTCTGCAAACTCTCCAGAGCTTAGAATATGAGAGAGAGTTTCCTCGTGACCCCTAGAGCAACAATCACATTTGGAAGCAAGGTTTATTCCAACGGCTTTAATTCTTTCATCCACACCTAAGCTTCTATTTAAGGCTTTCCACATAAAAACTGAAACATAATTAGGCAAAGCATTGTGCCAAACCCAATGAGCCCACTGCACATGTTCACCTCGAATCCTCACCATTTCCCACCCTGTTTTCACAGTAAATAAGCCATGTTTCTGCGGTTTCCAAATCAGTAAGTCAGTCCCCTTTTTTCGATTTGCAACTTGAGCAATAACGCGACTGGCTAGATTCTCACCTACCAGATCTCTCAACCTAACCATATCCCATCCACTTTCCAAACAAATGTCATTTATTTTTAACTTTGGTTCTACAACTTGAGATACTTGTGTGCATAAAGGACCCCCCTGTAGCCATTTGTCAAACCAAAAAGAGCATGAACCATCTCTTATCTTCCATTGACTTTGTTTAATAACCATTGGAATACAATCTCTGATAGACCTCCAAAATTGAGTCCCAATTTGGCTTGCATTTGCAATATCCAACATCCCATGTTTCAAATATTTTGCTCGAAAAAAGCTTGGCCATAATGAGTCTGAAGACAAAAGACGCCAAGATAATTTCATATGTAGAGATCGTTGGACATCGTCAAATCTTAAAAGTCCAATCCCCCCTCCATCACTGGCCGACACATTTTATCCCATGCACACCATTTTTTCCTAGTCTTCCCATTATTCTCACCCCAAAAAAAGGATGAAATAATAGAATCTAACTTCCTAACCACAGATGTAGGAATACTCAACACTGATAGTAAATGAGTGACCATGCTCATAAGGACATGACGAAGTATTACCAAACGCCCACCTTGTGATAGTAATAGCATCTTCCATCCTGCAATTTTTTTCTGAATCTTCTGAACAAAGGTCTCTAAATGTCTAGCACTTAATCTACCTTGAACGACGAGCACTCCCAAATAAGTCATAGGAAAATGACCCTCTTTGAAACCAGTCTCCCTTATAATATCACCCTTTTGCATCAAGGAGCAGGTTTTAGAGAAAAAAATTGTCCACTTCTCCTTATTAATAATCTGTCCAGACCAGTCTTCATATATTGCCAATACCTCCATTAAACCTTTGACTGATTTTTTACACCCATTAGCAAATATCACAAGATCATCTGCATACATAAGGTGCGAGATCAAAGGGCCACCTCGATGATGAGAAAAACTACCAATAGTTCCATCACCAAAACTCTTTTTTAATAACCTCGTCAGAACCTCTTGCATAATGATGAAAAGATTAGGAGAAAGTGGATCCCCCTGCCGTAATCCACGTGTAGATTTGAAAAAACCTTGAGTAGTACCATTCATCATTATTGAGTACCAAGGGGTTGTTATGCATTGATCAACCAATCAATAAAATCCTTCCGAAAAACCAAAAGCTTGTAACACATGTCGCAAGAACCGCCAATCCACCCTATCATATGCTTTAGCCATGTCTACTTTAACCACATCATTACCCCCTCTAGCTTTTTTATTCATAGAATGCACTAACTCCTGAATCAAAGTGATGTTCTCAAAAATACTTCTTCCGGCAATAAAAGCACCTTGCTCATACGAGATAAATCTAGAAATTATAGCAGCCATACAGGTCACTAGGATTTTGGAAAAAATCTTATAGACAATAGAACATAAACTTATAGGTCTGAATTTGTCAAAGCCTATTGGTTCCTTCACCTTTGGAATGAGAATAATATAGGATGATGAATAGAAACGAGGAAGATCTTTACCTTCAAAAAATTCGTGTGTTGCTGCAATCACATCATCTTAAACGATATCCCAACATTTAATAAAAAACCCAGATCCAATCCATCTGGTCCAGGAGAGCTATCTATGGGAATTGCAAACATAGCCTCTTTTACTTCCATTTCAGTTGGTAAAACACAAAGCAATTGTGCCTCATCCTCTGTTAGAGTGTCTTCAATCAAACCAGACAAATCTGGCACTGCACTCACATGTTCTTCAGTAAGGAATTGTTCGAAATAATTCACTGCCTCCAGGTGTATTTGTTGAGTAGAAGATAGGCGTGTGCCATTCTCTAAAACCATGTGATCTAGCTTTCTATTTTGTCAGTGTTGTGCAATAACTGCATGGAAAAATTTTGTGTTGTTATCTCCCTCTTTAATCCATTTCTTTTTAGCTAATTGAGAAAGCTTCATTTCTTCTCTCTTTTGCCATTCTACTAACTCAATTTTGGAAACTAAAAAATCCTGTTCCACCTCTGTTGTATACTCTTCTTGCAAAGCACTTCTTAATACCTCCACTCTCTCTTGAAGCTCTAATATAACATGATCAACCCTGCCAAAAACTTGTTTATTCCATATTTTGAGAGCTGTGAAGAAATGTGGCACTATGATG